TTTTTTTTTTTTTTTTTTTTTTTTTTTTTTTTTTTTTTAACCTTGAAGCAAGAGAAGTTACTATCAAAGTCCATAATTTAGAGCTCATGGCAGAATCAGGGATTTTGTTAAATAAACTGTTTCTGCTTGTAGCGGACGCTAGAGGGCAGCAGGGTCTCATCACTGGTGAAGTCTGCGACTTCCTACAAAAGCCACTGAGCACTTGAGAAAGGCAGTCCCAAGAAGCGGGGCCATAAATCTCTAAAGCAAACAGGCAAAGGATGTTAATGATTGTTGCAGATGCATTAGCTGCTGCGCAAGCCTCCTTCCAGGAATAAAGTGCAGATCTGCAGGCCTGGGGCTGGATGGCAACTGAAGGGAACCTTGCTCCTTCATGAAACTGAGTCAGGCACAGAGGTAGAGAAGGCTCTGAGCCTGGGCTCCTACCTCTTCCAGGCTTAAGGGACATGAGCCTGGAGAAGACCAATCCTTCCCACCTTTGGCTGCATTCAACCCCAACTGTTTCCAGTAACCCAAGAGCACTGCAAGCCTGGTTTCCATCCCAGGACTGCCAGACATAGGATGGGAAATCAAGTAACTACCTTTCCCTTCCTGCTGGCTACAGAGTCCTTGCTCCCCAACTTCCACTCAGCAAGCCACACAGCCTCTTTGTGCCCTACTTCCCCTTTTGTTCTGCTTTGCTCTGCTTTGTGTGGAGACATGATCTCCCTTTGTAGCCCAGGCTGGCCTGTAACTCGAGCTTCTCCTGCCTCAGCCCCTGACTGCTGGAATTACAAGCCTGTTCCACCATGTCTGGCATATCACACAACATTTTAACAATTTTTCAACATAATTACATTTTATATTATTGTGCCTTTCATACAGAATTTCACCCTGTAGCCTGGGCTGGCCTGGAACTATGTGGCCCAGGTTGGCCTCAAACTTGTAACAATCCTCCTGCCTCCACCTCCTAAATCCTGGGATTACATATGTGAGCCACCAATGGCTGCCTTTTTGGGTTATCTTACAAAGTCTAGTCTATACTCTGGCCTCTCAGGATGACAATTCTCAAATGCCTTTGGCTGAAACCTCAGCCCTGAATCCTGGCTCCATGTTTCTGGCTATCAGAAAGTTCCATTGAGACTTCCTTAGGCCTGGCAGCCACCTGCACTTTCAAAACCCCTGGCCTTATACCCCACTTCCTTTTGGGCTATTAGCTCAGAGACACCTGCTATCCGTGCACCACTGAGCCAGGTGAATCTGCTATGGTTACAGTGCCCAGCAAAGACCTATGTTCTTTTATGCTCCCTAGTTCATGGGGCTACAAAGATGCAGTAGGACTTTAAGAGACAGGACTTGGCTCACTGGAGGATGTGGCCTTGAAGGATCAGATACTAAGAGCCAGGTCCTTTTCTAGCTCTCTGTTTTTCCTGGCCACCAGAAGGTGAGCAGCGACTTCCATCTTGTATTCCCAACCATGATGTTCTGCATCACCACAAGCCCAAGATAATGACCTGAACATGGAAGGAAATCTCTGAGCTTGTGAGCCAAAATAAACCTTTCCTCCCTATAAGTTGATTATTCCAAGTATTTTGTTACAGTAACAGGGAGCTGAAAAACACAATACCCCAAATCTCCAGTGTCACCCAAATTATCCCTCACTCTGCTCATGTGCAATGGCACATTTCTGGCTAGAAGGCTTAGGTTTTTTTTTTTTTTCCTAAGGACCCTTCAGCAGGAGGCTATCTCAGCTCAGTCATTCTCACTGCTGAAATTCAGCCACAACTGACAAAGTCCACACATGAAGCAAAGCCAAGGCTCCAACACCACACACAATGAAAGGAATGCATGGCAGGAATAAAGGTCACTGCAATCCAGCCCACACTCCAGATGCAGCAGTGACTCTCCCTAACTAACCACACATCAGCCCTTTGGTGTGGTTGGCACACATGCAGACATACAGCTCGCAGTGTGGTGAGCCAGGTGCATGGGCACACACAGCCTGAGCTCTGTCACTCATCCTCTGTGCCTCTGAAACTATGGCCAGTGCCATCTTTTACTGTGTGTGTGGTGGTGGGGATGGAACATGGATGCTGGGCAAATGCTCCACCACTAAGCTACACCCGCAGCTGTATAATCTTACAGATGAAGAAACAGACCCCAAGGGCTTGCCTGACTGACCAGGCTTACAGAGTTAGGAAGTGAAGCATCTGTTCAGCCAGCACGAGCTGAGTCCTCCTCACTTCTGCCAACTCATTAAACTGACCTGCAGTACGTTATCTGCCCTTCTGATCTCCCAGATCTCCTGCCTCAGCACTTCTGTCTGCCATGTCCTCTGACTAGGCATCATTCTCCCAACACTCTATGTTCTTGCCCTGCAGCAGCTCTCCCTGCGACCATCCGCTCATCCATTCAGCAAGGGTTTATACTTACTGCCCCAACTGAGGGCTCAGAACTGAACACTGTCAAGGTCAGGGCCACACTGGAGACAGACATGGTCTTGTACTTTGTACCTCACAGACCAGGAAGAACAAGCACTGTCTAGTCACTGCACAGTATCTCTGTCAGGACAATGACAGCTTTTCAAGGGTTACACAGTGTGGGACATAAAGCCTGACCTCTCTAAGGAAGGAGCAGTGGGGAGAAAAGTCATGTGTTGAAAAGGCTATTAAAAAAAAAAAAAAAAAAAAAAAGAATGTTATTTGCCAAGAAAGCTCTGTGTTATAGTTCCAGCACTCAGGAGGCAGAGGCAGAAGGACTACCACAAGCTAAGGCCAGCCTGGCCTACACACTGAGTTCCAGGCTGGCCAGCGCTACACAGCAAGATCATGTCTCAAAAAGGGAAGGAAAACCCAGTCATCCAGAAGGTAGGAGGAGCTGGTGAGAAGCGAAGTAGGTTAATGGGAGCAGGAAGGGGTGAATGAGAGGAAGAGAGGCCTCGGCTCCTAAGAGTGCTTAACGGCCACAGTAACAACAGCAAACCTTATCCCAAGTGCACAGGGAGGCCAGAGCACTGGAATGATGAAATCTGATTATATTCTCAATCGGCTCTGGCTGGTAAAAGAACAGAGATGGGGACAAAAGGAAAAGGTGGCCACATGTTGAGAAGGCATTTTGCCACAGCCCTAGCAAGAAGTAACAGTCAGACAGACTAGGGATATAGGATAGGGTTTCAGGACACATTCTATACATTTCACCTTCACACAGGTAATTAAAAACATCCCCAGCCCTGGCTGTCATGGCACAAACTGTCATCTCAGGCACTGGAGAGGCTGGGGCAGAAAACCAGGCAGTTGAAAGCCAACATGAGTGGCCTTTGTGAAACACTGCATCAAATAAAAAGCTACTGGGCTGGCAAGATGGCTCAGTAAATAAAGGCACTTGTTACATGCCTATTGACCCTAGTGTGACTCCTGGAATCCACATGGTGGAAAAAGACACATGACTCCTGAAAGTTGTCCTCTGACCTCCACACATGCACAGTGATACATCTCCACACACTAACACGCTCAAAATACATAAACAAGTAAATGTAATTTTTAAGATATTTTAATATGTAGTTAAAGAGATGGCTAACTGGTTAAGAGCCCTTGCTGCTCCTCCAGAGGACCTATGTTCAATTCACAACACACACATTATCTGGTGGTTCACAATTGCCTATAACTCCAGTGCTAGGGGATCCAATGCCCTCTTCTGGCCACCATGGGCACCTATACTCATGTGAACTCACATGCACACAGACACATACAGACACACAGAATTGTAAAGAATTTAAAAGGCTACTGATGTGCTCCGTTAACCCCAGCATTCAGAAGGCAAAGGGAGGAGGATCTCTGTGAGTTTGATGCTAGCCTGGTCTGCATAGTGATATCTATGCCAGCCAGATCTACACAGTAAAACCCTGTGTCAAAAAAACAAAATTTAATTAAAATAAAAAATAAAATTATAAAAATGGATGAACACAAAGCCTCAGGTAGAACTTCCCTGCACATCTCCCATGATCTAGCACCGTGTACATAGCAGAAAAGATAAATGCTGAACAAAGAACACCATGAACTCCAAATGTCATGTGACCTGTATAAGTAGGCTGGGCACACGATGCAGCCACCTGTCAGCTGCCACAGTATCTTGACTGTCAAAAGTAAATCTGCCTTCCCGGAGGCCTCCAAAGTCGACCATACCAGATCACAGCAGTATGTGAGTCACTCCTTGTACTCGTTTGAAAGAGACATGTCACCCACAGGTACAGGCATTTAGCACTTGGTCCTCAGTGGTGATGCTGGAGAGGTTATGGGGAAGTGCAGCCTTGCTGGAGGAAGGACATCACTGGGGGCAGGCTTTGAGAACATAAAGGCTTTTCCCATTACCAGTGTGTTCTCCCTGCTCCTTGCTTATGGTAGATGATGGGAGCTCTCAGCTTCTTTCTCTGGTTGTCATACATGCTGCCATGCCTCCCACCATGATGGGATTTTATCCCTTTGGCACTAGAAGCCAAAACAAATTCTTTCTTTCGTAAGTTGCTTTTGGTCATGATGTTTTATCACACCAACAGACAACTAGCTAATACATGCCTCAACTTAAAGCAACCACAAAAGCTAAAAGTGGGAACAATGAAGCTAAAGAATGTAAAGAATGAACCCAATGGGAATGAAGGGTTAGAAGACCACAGGCTGCAGGTGAACTGAGAAATGCTCTCAGATTAGCTGTACATCTCTAAACCATCACCAAGTACGAGGTACCAATGCACTCACTGCCAAGAGAAAGAAGTGAAGACGCCGGGCCTTCCCAGAGTTCAGTGGCCTTCTCCCATCTCCTAAGGCGTAAAATAATGGTCACTATTTGGGATTTACTTTGATATGGCCAAGTTTAGCACCAAACTGTTGTGGGCAGTCAAGAGAGCCCCCTCTGGTTTTGTCAACCAGTTCATCACAAGGCACTTACCCAGTTCTACAGGAGACCCCTAAGCCACTTCTTACTTCTGAGTGTCCACGAGCCATCCTTGCCCTAAGCCCCAGATCTCCTAGCTCCTATTCCTACTTGTACAGCTAACTCAAGAACCCCATCTGTTTCTTGGAGAAAAGCTCTTACCAGAGAAGAGAAGACAGGAAGCACCCACCTGCTGCACCATAGGAGCCTACTCCACTCACAGGAAAGAGGACGTCAGTGTCGGCATCAGCATCTCCGTGTAACACCTGCAATGGGGCCCATCCATGTACCTGGGGTAGGCAGGTGTTCCCATCCAATGGCCTGTGGAGAAAGAACACAGCTGCATGACAGGGCCTCCAGACATATCACAGCATCTGAGCTCCTCAATCCCCAGGCCTAGATGGAGCTAAAGCAGAATAAGCCATGAGCTAAGTCAGGGCTACAAAGCTTGGATCAGACCCCTTAAGTACTCATTTATCAGAGCTTGCTCAGTGTCTGCTGAAAGCAGGTATTGTGCTTGCCACAGGGCAAAGAGCCAACAAATGGTTATCATATGCTCATGGAGCTTACAGTATGCAAGAGGACCCAACATCAATCATATCAGCCTGCAAGAAGGCTCAGCTCAGGATTGTGGCACAGGACAGGAAGGCTGAGGAGGAAGACCCTTTGGAAAAGGGGATATTTGAGCCAATTATGGTGGTGTACACCTAGAATCCCAGCACTTGGGAGGCCGACGCTGGGAAGCACTAATGTGGTCTTTGTATAGCTCAACCTACCATTGACTCGAGTTCTTGTTTTGGTTTGATTTGATAAGGGATGGAGGGTAAAGATTTTTCCTTTTACCAAGAGTTTTTGTTTTTTTACTACTTTGCTTGAGACAGGGTCTCATGTATCCCAGGCTTGCTTAGAATGCTGTGCATAGCTGAGGATGACATGACCTTCTTCTGATTCTCTTAAAGCTTATGCCATCAGTACTGTGCACTAATTTAGAACATAAAGAAGTTCAGTAGATCAAATCACACCTACTACATCAAGTGAGGAAAGTGGTGGGGGGAGAAAAGTCAAATTATGTCATTTAAAAAAATTTAAAGATTTATGTATATGGGTCTTTTCCCTGTGTGTATGTCTGCACAACATGTGCATACAGTACCCACAGAAACCAGAATAAAGTGCCAGATTCCCTGGAACTAGAGTTACATATGGCTGCTGTTAGAACTAAAATGGGTCCCCAAAAGTGACCGTGGGCTCAGCACAGGCTGCACTCTGACATGTGCACAGAAAGCTTGCTTGTGGATAAATGAAACTCTAAAAGCAGCATTCCTCAGGACCTTGAAGCAGGTGTCTGCTTGTCCCTACAGGCCATGGGGTATCTGGTCCCTATTAACACACACCTGTAAACCAAAGTCCCCAGTTATTTCCCAGGCCACCCTACCCTAACTTCCAAGCTCCCTCCCCACCTTTTTCTAAAAAAAAAAAAAAAAAAAAAAAACTGGTGATGCTGAGGTTGGGTCCTCTAGAAGATCAGTTAGTGCTCTTAACCAAAAAGCCATCTATCTCTCCAGCCCCAAATTATGTAACTTATCAGAGCCTGGTGGTACACACCTAAAATCCCAGTACTCAGGAGGCAGGAGGCTGCCCAGCTCGGGCTACATAACAAGGCCCTGGTTCACAACCACATGGTTCCATGTTGCAACGTTTACATGTACAAAGCTCTAGGTTTCATCTGCAGGACCACAAAGAGAAAGACCCTGACCAGAGGTATGGTGGCTCACACCTGTAATCCCAACACTTCTAATGTAAAAAGGCAAGAGGGTTTCAAGGAGTTCAAGGACAACCTGGGCTACAGAATAAGACCCTGTCTCAAGACAATGTTACCTGTTGGCCATACACTATAGCACCAAGGCTGAGATCTTCCAAATCAAACAACAATGCTGTCCAGTCTCCTGTCTGCAAAAGCCTCTATACACAGTCTTTATTTTAGGACACAGGTCAAGACATTTTTCCTGTAAACATTTTAGACTGTGTGGAGTACTCTTCTATGGGGTGTTTCTCTATAAACCTTTAAAATCCAACAACCAAATCTAGCTGGGGTGAGCATTTGGTAGATGTTAGAAGCATAGTAAAAATGCCTTTTAGACATGAAAACATGTAAATACCCAAGGCTAAAATCCAGAACCCAGGAACATCACTCACTCAAGATAACCAGACCCAGTCCAAGAACCCCAAAATACCCAGTGGACAAAATATAAGCAGAGACCAAAAGCAATGATCTGCTCTGCACATTTGGAGAGATACCACCTTAATACGCACTGTGGCTGGAGAGTGTCCCCCCAGGACCCTAACCTGAGCTTCAATCAGAGACTTCTGTTAGAGACTGGACCTGACCTTCAGCTAGCTATGCTGCACAGGAGAGCACCCTTGGGGAGATAGGCTTAGGACTATAGATAGGAATTTAGAGTGTAAACCGTGTGTGATGACCCTCAGCATAATAAAATGTAACTTTTGTTATACTAAGTGTATCTACATTTTTGCTCCTGACAGTGGGAAACCCAGAGAACAGTCGTAACAGATTCTTACAAATGAATTCTTTCCTTCCATCGCTAGCACAGAGACATTTAGATAGCAGAGTGTGGGTGAAAGAGGGACAGCTCCTGCCTTGGTCCTGGCCACTACCCCACACACCCCAGTGTTAGGTAAACATGGCTGTGCCTCTAGGTTCTAATAAACCTCCCTCTTGGGGCTCTGATACAGCAGGGATTGTCAGGTTGCTCCCAAAAAGGGCAGGCCAACTGATGTGTCCAAAATTGAGTGTAGGCCCAGCTCAATCTGGACTATAGGACGGTTTCAGGCAGTTAGACAAAGGCCAGCATGCCTCAGGAACTAGTGGAGCCCAGTCTACCAAAAGGAGACCTATCCTTACCTCTGCAAAAGGGTCCTCCCTTCTCCAGTTAGCCTATGCCTATAGCGCCTAATAGCATTTCAGAGTCCACACCAACAGCCCAGTGCCTCCTCCCCTCAGCTACTCACCCTTCTTTCAACTTGACTATTCTCCAGGCTATTGTTCCAGCTTCTCTCACTGTTTTCTCTAGTCTCTATCCCCTGTTATTCTCCCTTCTCTCACAGATAGCTCTGGCCATATCCAGTATGCTAGCTATGTTCAGTCTATTTCTTTTTGTCTTTCTTCTAAACTCTTTCAGATGCCTCAGACTGTTCTTGTTCTCTCTCTCTCCTCTACAATAATAACCTTTCCCTAACCAAACCATGGAGCAGTCATGTTATCAGTTTATACAGTGGTGACCAAGGGAAGCGGCATGCAGGCAGGGCACACACTCAGAGATGGTAGCAGTACTGGACAGTCTGAGAAAGCTAAAGTTATGTTTTGAGTTTAAAATGCTGGGCTGGAGACATGGCTCAGAGGTTAAGAGCACTGGCTGCTCTTCTAGAGGTCTTGAGTTCAACTCCCAGCAACTACATGATGCCTCACAACCATCAATAAGATCTGGTGCCCTCTTCTGGCAGGCAGAACACTGTATACATAGTAAATAAAAAATTTTTTTAAGTTTAAATTGCTGTGCTTAAGAGATCTATAAAATAAAAATGCCTCTAACCTGTAAGCCCCACTTGCCCAAGGTCAGATAAACCTGTAAGGCCCACTTGCCCAAGGACAGTTAACTTTCTGGAGTGCTGGGGGCTGTTGTTCATGTAAGAAGACAAACCATATGTTTGCACTTCTGTAAACAAGGTTGATTGCCCCAACCATACAGATTATGCTTGATCATAGTTAGGAGGAGTTACATAGACATGAAGTACATGAGGATGTGTGCTTGCCTACAACTAGACGAAGGTGCAAAGTACATGGCTTTGTAGGTTTTGCCTTTATAAGCACCAGGCTAACATAATTCATAGCCATTCTCTGGGAATCCCAGTTATCAACCTGGCCAACATACATCATCCTGGCCAATATTTAATAAGGCTTCAAATTTGGCCCAAAAATTGTGGTAGTGGTTTTATTCTCACCTGGTTACATTAACAAATCCTGTCTCCAAATGTTCCACTACCCCTCTGGGCATGTGGACTTTTCTTCCTGTTTCAAAAACAATTCTTGCCATTTCCCAGAAGCCTATGTGAGTCAAAGTAAAGCCAAACTCACAAAGGGTGAGGTTCCCAACCCAACAGAAAGTGGTCCCCAACAGCACTGAGGCAGTAGTCAGTTCATCCCTGAGGCAACAGGCCTCAAAATATGGCATCAAGACTGGCTTTAAAGGGCCAGTAAATGGCTCAGCAGATGAAAGTGCTTGTTGTCAAGCTGGACTCATTTAATAAGGAAAGAACTGTCTTTACAAGTATCTTCACACACAAACACAAATGATGTAAAATATTTTAAGACTAGCCTAAAATAACAGAAAATATTGTTTATATTAAAACAAAATGTTTGTTTGTTTCAAAACCCAGACAATGTTAAAAATAAAGTCCAAACACAACTGGGTGGAAGGGTTTCCTCAGCAGTCAACAATTGTAAGTACCAACTACAGAGAAATTGAGCACCAAAGAAATAATTAAATTTCCAGCAGAGAATGCCCAAATTTAAGCCCCTAGATCATCCTAAAAACAAACAAGCATCAACCTATTGTGTTGGCCATGCCTCTATAGAGAAATTTTAATGCAGAACATGGCTGCTCTGACAAAAGATCACATCCAAAGACCTTCTAGGTCTGTATGATCGGACTAGAATACAGACACACCCTTACTCCAGCACTTAGGAGACAGAGGTATGCAGATCTCTGAGTTCTAATCAGTGCTGTTCAGGCAGTTCAGTTGAGTCAGGGAGTTGAGAGGCAGTGCAGTGAAGCTGAGTTCGTAGCAGTTCAGTTCATGGAATTCAGAGGCAGTTTTACCAGGAGAGCTTTACAGAGGGAGGCTAAAGAGAGAACAAGCTATACACAGATGAAGACAGAAACAAGCCAGAGGGTAAAAAGGAGACAGAAAATTAGAACAGATTACTAGTTAGAGGCCAAGCATAGTAATTCAGTGAGAAACTGAGAGAAGCCAGATTGAATCAGTCAGCCTGGAAAGAAGTTTGAGCCAGAACAGCTGAGATGAACCAGCCAGCCAGAGTTCAGAAAGAGCTAGAAAGGGTGAGCTTATTCAGCAGTAAGTCTCAGAGGCTGAAAACATTCTATGCCTAGATTAGACTGTAAAGAAGCTAGAAGCTTCCAAGACCAGGTCTAGGTTAGTGGATGGACACAGTAAGCCTCCAAGATGACAATTAAAACAGAAGAATAAAAGTTACTTTAACATGCCTCCTCTTGTTTACTCAGTAA